TACATTTTTTTAGGTAAGGCAATGCAGAAAGATACATGAAAGATACATTATGTTACTATGCAACAGAATCTTCTTATTCTACATTAATCAATACATAAATCAGGTACTGTACATACAATAATAAATAATGTGCCTTATAATAAGTTCTTATTCTTATTGATGTTTACAAGTAATATGTTCCATTAATAATCGTGTATAATTGTGTATCCAGCCTGTACATTGCAACATGTGTTGCTGCCCAATAATATCTACAATTTTCTTTTTAAAATGTGTTTTCTGATCCAGTATTTTCTTTTTTTAATAGTTTATAGGATTTTCTTGAACAATGTCCCTTCGGCATGGATAACAGCAGACAAAACCGATTTCATCCAGCTGTTTGAAATCGAAATCATTACCGTTTTTTGCTGCACTGTATATATGTCTTGGAAACCTCTTCTCACATTTTTGGTGCTTTCATCCTGCCTCTGCCTCATCTCCGTCTTTGTACCCAACCCTACTGTAGGTTAACTCTTCTCTCTGAAGGGGCTCTGAGCCTCCTCATCCTATGACCAGGAGGCTGTTCCTTAAATGTGAACTTCCATTCCCAATTTCCCAGTCAGGTTATTAAATCTGGTTGACAGATTAATTGAATTGATGGTGTTGTGAAATTTGACAAATTTTGATCAAGTGTAAAATTGTGAGCTCTGTGACAGTACTGTATGGTTGCCACGTTGTCACAGGCAGAAAATAAAACTGCTGGTCTCGCCACGGGAGCAAGAGTCGGAGAGAATCGTGACGTGAAACAGCTTTCCTTGCTCACTATTTTCGTAAGCAAATGAGAAACACGGTCCACTAACAATGTTAATCCTTTTGTCTTTTTGAACTCGTATATACTGTTGACCATTTGGCGGTTCAAAATGTAGTGGTCGCACACAAAACAGAGGATCGAATCAGCAGAAAGTCAAACTGTTTCTTTTTCCAGAGGATATTCAACGAAAAGAAACGTAGGCACTGATGTTGAAGTTTTTTCGACGAGATTCAGCATGACATAGTATCAAATAAGTACAGGTTGTGCAGCAGACATTTCACCCCAGAAATGTTTGAACGTGATCTGCATGCAGAGTTAACAATTAAGTAGCATTTGTTGGCAAAACCGTCACAACATCTTATTGTTGAATTCAATTCAATGTGTACTCATTCAAAACAGCTCTTCAGGTGAGAGCACAGGTCCTGCTAGAATTTTTTTTTAGCAAAACTTGAAAATGAATATGAGTATACTGTAGGTTGGCAGGTTGTTCTTTTTTGCAATACTTAAAGTATTGTATTACTACTTTCTTAATATAATTGAGAGATTCAGTAGTAGTCTAATTCATAGTGTGTGATACATCAAGTCTAAGATCTATCTTTATTTCACCTTACGTTAAACAAGAATATTACAGTTTTTGCTGTTAAAGTGTCTGCTCTTGGAGTCATGAGGACAATGTGCTCATTTATTGAAGTGGAATTTTCCTCTTGGAAGACTGTAATCTTCACACCTGCTTAATGCAGTAAAACTGTTAAAAGCAGTTTAACATCCATGTATATTTCAGTCCGACTAGCACTGCCAACATTTTTTTTCTTATTCTTATGTATTCACATGTACAACAGTGTACAACACTAAAATAGCCTCTGTGGTGTAATGCAGGTAAACAAATATTTTATAGAAGTGTTTTAAGGGGTACTAAGCCCTATAAGACCAATATAAGCAATTGTATTGATGTAATATGACATAAATGGGAATTTATTTAAAAATAAATTTAGTCCCTAAATATATTGGCCCTTTAATGACATACTATCAGTCACACTCAATACAATCTTTAAAGACTCACAAATATTCTGGTGTTTAATACAAAAGTAAAGGTGGTATTTACAAATACCACATGTATCTAAATCAGGACAACCATCAGGTTTTTCATAGGCCTTCATTTCATTTAATTGGAAAAGGGGCTTTAAAAATAATTATATTCAACTCCCCATAACCAGGGTGTTAACACTCTAGCACATAATGGTTTGGCTTGGTATGTTATTATAGCAGGGAGGTTGTTTGATGACTTGCAGTGGCAGCATTGCTCACAGTTGCATTCTAGAGTTGCTTCTCTTTGAAGCTGACATGATATTTTAACACTGGTATGCTTGTTACAAATGATCCAACATTGTAACATTGCATTGTATTGGAATTATAGATCATCTGTTTATGTCATAGCACAGCAAATACAATCACGCCCTGATAACATTAAGAACACATCAAGACAAATATGAAAATGTATATGGTCTCCAAGTAATTTATCTTAAAAAGTAAGCACGTAATGTAAAAATAGACAGACGTTTAAACATCTCAGAAATCATACCTGGAAATGTGTTAACCTTCACATGTGTACAACATTGGCACAATGCTACCAAAATACTTTGTGTAGAGTACAATTCTATCAGTGTAACAGCTTGTGTTTTATGGGCTTAATGTCCTTTCAAGTCAGCTGTATTTTCTTTTAATATGTTACTGTATGTCTTTTAGTTATTTTCTTTTTCCCTTTTCTTATAGTTTTGATTTCCATGCTATACAAAATCACCTTCTGCCTTCCTTTGAGAAACCTAATTTTCTTAAGGTAACATAAAAGCTAATAAAAAGGAAGACACTGAGAAGCAAAACTAATAATCTTTCCCATTCATCGTGTCTTTTATTTATTAATTCATCTGAGGCTTTCATCCAAAGCATCTTAAACATACAGTATGTTTATTTATACTCGTAAGCATTTTACTGAAACAACCCCAGAAGAAGCTTTTGCATGCTCAGTAAACTGTTTTTAATGGTATGCTGTAAATGGTTAGTTTGTCAAGTAATTGTCTAAGCTGAATCAGCAGAAAGGAATGTAAGTGATATGCAAATAAAGACAAGCCATAACAATCGACTGTAATTTAACTTGGGAACGCATTATTCAGCTTTCATACCAGTAGTTTTTCACAGTCATGCGGTTTTGTGTTCTACAGTTTCATCTATAGACATTTGCATCCATATTTAACTTCTTTGTTTTTGCTTGTTTTATAGTTTACAATTACGTCATGAAAAGCAAGCTGATTTGATTCCTGGAAATATGTTAATGTAAAAAAAATAATCATTGTGAACTTGTAAAACAAGATGGAAAACAAATGAGCTGCCAGTGTGCTGTCTCATGCACGGTGTTCGATGTGTCTGTCAGGGTGACATTTTGTTCCATTACTTCAGGAATCGTTGAAGGAAAGGAAAACACATACATTGACAAATTGGTTACTGTACAAATCAGTTTTAATGTTTATATCTACAGTAGAATTTAGCGATCAGTGTATTCATTCTCAATCCGAAGGACTTTTAAAAAATGCTGTTCTTTTCAGGATAAATAGTAAAACTTCATCTTACAATCCAGAAGCCTGCACCCATTCTACTCTTCAGACATTGAAGCTATCATTTGGGTTATAAGTATTCACCACCGTGTTTGCAGTTGAAGTTTAATGAAACATCAGATATAGGATGTTAGAATTCAATTTCAGAGGTATTTGAAAAAAATCTGCTGGGACATTATATCAGAGTAATACTTTATATTTGGTGCTGCAAAAAACATTTATAAATCTGTTATAACCTGTAACATACAGCCATCTAGAATGCACTAGGTGTTTGTAAAGGTATAAAGGTGACATGTGGCATCTCGTTCTTATTTCTTTACTGATTGTCTAAAGGAAGTACTGCACTACAGCAGTAACACTGTCAGTTGGTGTAGTGAAGACTTAAATATCCCAACCATCGTGCTGTTGCACACTGGTGTATTGTCAGTCAAAGTGAGGTGTGCATGTAAAATAAAAGTTATTTTTTGTTATTTTAAAAATAAAAAAATAGATTGTGATTGTGATTAATAAATACCATTTTAAAAATCCAAAAATTAATCATTAAAATCCAGAATACTTAATTGAAACCTCAATAGGGTATTTAGAATGTTGGCTTTTTTTGATCATGAATGGGGTGGTTAAAATGATTTTTTACATTATTTTTGGCTTCTGAGAGAGATGTGTGGTCAGATTTAATACTTTTTTACAAAGTGTACCAGTGGAAAAATTGAAATTGGAATTAAGTGTACCTTTAGAGTGGCAGTGTGTGGCCAACAGAAAAATCAGTACTATGGGGAATCAAAATTAAATGTTTCTAAATTTTTTCAGCTTCCAAAAATAAATCGTGAAACACTAAAAAGTCTTTCCATTGCGAGTAAAAACGACACATCCCAGAAATCCACGGTTCTGCATCCTTGGATCTTGCAGGTCCCGCCCAGACTTGGTGTTTTATAAGCACTTATAAGCACTTATACTAAGATTTGTTCGGTCATACTGTATGTGGTTTAGTGTTTTTAATTTGAACCTTGCAAGTGTTCATGGGAAATGTAGTTAAAATAAACATCCAACTATAATTATATAATATACCTGTAAATATATTATGTCAATATAAAAAAAATGAATTATTATTGTTAATAACATTCAGAAATGTTATTATATTTGAGTTATTTTCATTTTCAACAAGTAAAATTTAACTTTAGTGACACAATTCCATATTACAGTAAGTGAATTTAAAGAAACAGGGTTCTAGTGCATGAATGTTATAGTACAGTACTTCAAAGACAGAAATAGACTAAAAAAACTAAATGGAACACAAGTACCACCCATCAGTCTTCTTTGAGCAGTAAAGAGCTGAATAAAGCATGTTGAACAGGACTGTTGTGTATATCACAGTGCATTTTCCACTAGCTTGAATTGTGATGTGGATTTTAGATGTCTGGATCTGTATAAAAAGAATATCAACCATGTATCAGTATCCTGGTAATAAATACATTACTTGTTTATATAACAAGTCAATTTGTTCTTTTATATAAAAGTTTAATTAATGCATATGTGAGTATTAAGATTTACAAAACGTCATTCGCAACACAAATTTGATTTGTTGGTATAATGTGTTTGTTTCATTTCAGAGACTATGCTGAGTTTCGTGGATGATATTCTGTCTGGGGCCAAGTCTCCATGTGTGATGCTGGGAGACATTCCTGACCTTCTCACTTCTGCCATCAGCATGATAGTCCGCTGCCTGGAGCCAGACAACACGTACATGTACGTCACCAAAAACAAACTGTTGCACATTATTGGTTATTTTGTGCTAGGTTATGAGTCATAGTCTTGATGTGAAATGTTGTCACTGCCATTTTAGGATAGTGTCTGTAGGACCTCCTATATAAGACTTTCTCTGTTTATATGTGTTTTTCTTCATGAAAAATATACCTTATATTGAGGTATACTAAATGTAATGCACCTATAGAGTAGCTAATGCTAATAACAGATATGGGAACTGAAAGATCAATATATTAATGCAATTCAGGGACCAGAATGGTTACAAACAAGAGGAGGCCATGCAGCATAATGTTTTAGACTTCATAAGAGTAGGTGAAAGACGTGTTTGAGATGTGATTTCAATTATGCTTAAATAAAGGCAAATTGCACTTTGTTTAAAATTATCTGTCCATAATGTAACCTGAATGAAAAATGATAAAGCTTTTAAATGTTAATTACTTACTTCTAGGTTTGTGTCTGTGTGTCCCATCCTCTGCAGTTTGCATAGTGAGAATCAATTTCGAAAGCAAGATGTGACACAATCCAAATGTCTTTTAGAATACACAAAAGAGAATAGAATCACATACAGTATTTCAGTACCCTTAACTACAATATTCATGTGGTTTATATTCAGCCAGGGAAAACACAGTCTAACAAATACACAATGAATAATACAGGAAATGAAGGATGCTGGTTCTGTGGTTACCTCCAGCATAGCACAGACATAATATACACTGATATACAGTATGCATGGATATGTCATACTGCAGTCATGCAGTATCTTACTGCATGCTAAGCAGATTTTTTTGACAATGCCAATAGGTCGTTTGCTTAAAGAGCTAGGCTGGAAATAGCCACCATAAGGGATTTACATAGGACTTTGAGTGTGGGATATGAATGTGAAAGATGACTTGCAGCTTATGGGAAAATGTAACTAATTAAAGGTGTGATGGTGATAAAGTTGTGTTGTAATGATGGTAAACACAGTAGTGAGCTGTGGCAGTACTGTGAACAGATACTGTAAACTTGAATATAGTTCAAGAAAACAGTATAGTATGTGCTGTAGTTTTACATATCAGACAACAGGTGGTAGTCTTGGTAACGGTAATAAGCACTGGTGTGCTACCAAACATCATTTGATGTTTTTTTTATTTGTAAATATAAAAATATAAGAGGAAGTAATTTAAAAATATAAGAGGAAGTGACTTACAGTAACACGCTTGTCTGCTTTTGGTATGAGGTGTGAGGTATGAGTATTCTTTCGGATTTTCCTGTATAACATGTCTTTCACGTAATCTGTAGAATAAACAAGAGGTAGGTAAAGTTTTAGTGATACGGTTTAAATAAGATAAAAGGACACTGACATCTCAGGACTTACTCAGAAGATGTCGACAGTGAAGAATAATGACGTAATGCTAAGTCGGTGAACAGCCTGCAGGGCAATCATCCAGTAAAAAAAAATTATACAGTGATGTTTGTACATGTTTATGCATAGGAATGACTCAGTCGATAGCACAGACCTTAATCGATAACATGACCACTTACATAACAAGTGAGGAAAGATGTTCATTTGTTTTTGAAGAGCTTTAACATATATACACTGTACAGTATATAACATTTATACCGTATGTATATAACAAGCCTGTGTACACCATAAAGGGTGTCCACAGAATGGTTTAGAACTTTAAAGGCTTTTTTTTGCGACTAATTTCCGGAACACACACGTCATGTCTTATGTATCAGAATCAGAAAGGGTCCCAGTTTCGCCTTTGTACGATGAAAACCCGGGTTTGTCAAATCTGCTGCAAACCTGGGTTTTTGAAGTGAGAAACATATGTTTGACTAAAAAGATGAAGGCTAGGTTTAAATAAGGCACCCAGTAAGGGGAAAAACATAGTTATCCCAGGGAATGGTAGGGTCTCTGTTGTACTGGCTGACAGTTATCCTTTGGCTTTTATCCGTCTCCTCTGGCATGGTGCACCCTAGCAGCCATCCCACAAATCCCAACCTGCACATGTGAAGGCATTTATCTTGTGGAAGGTTCATAAACTAAGAATCCAGACTGGAAAGATTAGACTGAAGGAAAAAAAGAATGGGTTTAAGACTTTGCCCCTAAAATGCTTTTGATGTATTGTGGAGACCCTTTCCCATCCTCAGGTTACACCCATTATGAGAACCACACACACACAATTTCTTTATATAATATTGGCATTGACCAGCATTTTTCCCAGCAGGTCGTTCATCATGCTTTCAGAACCTTGCAGTGCAGAATTATTTAAAGCCCTTTTCTCATCAGACACTTCTTAAGCAAAATCTACAAAAGACTGTAATGCAAAGAGACTCCAGGACAGTCCTCTCAGTACTTTAATAATCCGCACAGGTGACAGTTATACATGATAAAATAAGAGTTTGCTGTTTTTTCTCTTTGGCATTTTTTGAGACGTGAAGCAACATTGAAAAGGGGATGAAGTTGAATCCTCTTGTAAAAAAAGGTTATTACACTGGTCCCAATTACAACGTTTATTATTTTAGAGTTCAGTTAAAATGCAAAACTGTTATGCTATTGGATTAGCCACTAAATATTGATGTTTTCCCGAATCAAATGAGCTCAAAACAGGGAGTTTCTGCCCTCTTCAGAGCCTTCCAGTGACACTTGGTATGGTATTATGATAATTCTGTTATCACAGTCATTCGTTTCTGTTTTCATTGAACATACACAATTCTTTGCCCTTTGGGGACAGGAAACATGGTTCATTTTATGCAGCAGTGCTCATAACAGACAGTGTGAAGCCGCCGTGGGACTGTGAGACACGGACAAGATAATTATTCAGATCCATACATTTCAATTTTATAAGGCAGTGGCGTGCCTCCTCTCAATGTGGAAAAGTACAGATAGCAGTTATTTATCATAATGGCCACTAGATGGAGACATAATTCAAGATTAGCTTTATCAGTTTGATTATAACCTTGAATGGTGGATACTCTTATACCAAGAGACATTGTTGTTTCCATAAAAATAGCGTGCATGAGAGATATTATTATGACTCCTGTGTTTTACTGGTGGAAGTGTTGCATTCAGAAATAGAATGGTGTTTTGTTTTTTACATGTTGAAAATTATTTCTGGATTGTGTCAGAATTGCATACCTAAGACATAAAAGAGCAATTTAAAGCAATGTGCAGTTAATTAGTTTTTATAGATATATTTTCACGGCTGAACTGAACACCCTCATTCATCCTACTAATTGGTAAAATGTAAAGATACATAGTGCCCATAATTCCTTCTCTGTCACTGTGAATGTCTAGATATTTTCAAAATCTGTTGTTCTCCTGCCATTATAAATAATTTAGGTTGACTTTGAGTTTGAGTTTAGAATAAAGTCATTATCACATTGAAAAAATCTTCACCCATCAACCTGCACTCATAAATATAGTATGCTCCTTCTCGAATGTGCCTTGTATTCTTGAAAGTACAGTATGTTCTGATTTTCCTCCAAAACAACAGCACACCTTCTCTTTACCATCTCCCAGTTTAACTGTAGGTACTAAAGAACATTTTACGAGCACTAACAATGCACAGCAAGAAAAATGTGTTGAGGATTTTTTTTTAAACGCTTAGGCATGAAATGTTTTGGCTTAACCTGCTTGGCTGAGGGCCAAACACCTGGCCACAGAACGAGACCATTAGGATGACTGGGCAGAGTGAGGAGTTAACCAAGGAGTAGCTGCAAGGATGTAGATGGAGTGGAGGAAGGATGCAAAAGGATGAATTTAAGGAAGAGAAGTGTTCAGCACTATGTAATGTGTTTAAGTGACATCATGGAGGACCTTAGACTAGCATAACGTAGTGGCTATTATTCCTCTCAAACATACAGTAAAAAAAACTCCATGTTGACAATTTCACCGTGTGAACATTTAATGTGTCCATAACACTGATTTAAAGCACTGCATTTCATTGTTCTGATGCCTTTTGGTGCCCAGCAATTGCTTTATATACAGTACATTGTATAACATTAAACGTTTATAAAAAAACACAACAAATGATGTTGGTTACAAAACTCATTAGTTGCATTTTCAACATCACTGATACTGTACGTGTCTTTGTATATAATTGTTATCAACATCTTTTGATCCACTACTGTGCAAAGGTCTCCACAAGATTTTAATTTCAAATTCTTAGTTTGGTATTCTTGTAATTTCTTATTCAATTGGATCTATTCTAAAGCATCTCAAGTCCACCACTGACCAGAATGTCCAGTTCTTTGCTCTTTAACTTCATGAACATGTGACAGATCTTTGTTTTCATGTACTTTCTAAGTGCATGCGTATTACACCTTCTACACTAAAGTCATACTCATTTTAGGAGGGCTTTTTTCAATTTGATTTATCTGAAACACATTAAACTGAGTCTTGGACTTGGGTCTTATCTTTTAAATAGCAACATCTAATAACAAAAAGTCTTAGCAGTTGTGCCAAGCTTGGATTGTATCTTGTTATGAAGTGGGAAAATATTAAAATTAAAAATTGCCTTTTTCCACATTTTTAAAATCCGAGCAAGTAAGATTATTTTCTTGGGCTTTCTGCCATGTTAAGAGAATTGCAGTATACAAATTGTCAGCAATTACTGAGCTGACAACTGAGTCAAATCTGTGGCACTTTGAGAATGTTCAGAGAACACAATTGTGCAATGTTAGGAAGAGTGTTTTTCAAGTGTTTTTTTTTTATCTTTGTGTGTTTCTACTTTGCAAATTAGCATTTTCAAACTGAATTAGCCATGTTATTGTTCTGAGTCCATGGATGTTAGCTAAATTGATTTGGATTTAACGAAGAGAGATGTTTGTGAATCTGGAAGATGAGCTCTGTGAGTGCATTGCTTTTACAAAAATTGCACTGCATAAAACCTTCAGTCGAGTTAGATTGATTCACAGTATGTTACTGATTTGCAGAAAATAAAACCTTGATTTTGAACACACCAAGACAAGAAATGTTACGAACAAGAGAAACAGATTCAGTCCATGTAGCCAGTTTGGTGATTCAACCGTGGATCTTGTTTTGATGTATTTTGAAAACATTCAGTGTTTTGGCTTCAGCAATCTAGCAGGATAATTTCAGACCTTTTTTTATATTATTTTGTGTAAAGACGTTCCTCCTGTTCTCCATCTTTATCTTAGATGTAGTTTACACATGTTCTCCGGATCTTATTTCACTGCTGCTCTTGAAGAGGTCCATTGGGTCGAATTTTGATTTAAATTAAGTCTTGAGTCCATGATCGTTGTTTTGAGTGATGATACCCATGGATATGAAACAGGAAGCCTCTGGCAAATGGAAAGCCACCATCAAATACTGGAAGTGGAATTTGAGAAAAAAAGCCAAGATTCAATGTAAAAATGATAAATGAATATGTAGCTCGTTTGTTACACAGAGGCATTTTTTTTAGAAATGCTTTGTTTTTGTATTTACAAAATAATGCGCAGCTGGCAGTGTATTAAAATATATTGCATGTTGTCCCACAATACCCTAATATGACCTTCTAAATGTGCATTTTTTTCAAGTGCTGTCCAAGCATGCTTGGGTTCTTTTCAGCAGTGGTGTTATGCTGTCTAGGAGACATGTTGTTCATGTTGTACTGTGCCCCAGGTTCAGGCTATGGGCAGTGGATAACACAGGCCGACGCTCCAGTCCCAGTGAAGTGACAATAAAGACCCCCTGTCCAGCTGTAGATGATGTGAAAGCACAAGGTGAGGTCCTGTGTTGTATTTGAAATTACAATGGTTATTTTGGAAATACTTATAGTACTTTTTGTGTTGTAGTTTTGAGGACACGGAAGAAGTTTGTTTTTACTGCTTTGTCATTTTCTTTTATGGTAATGACATTCCCAGTACTTACTGTACATAGCTGTGGGTTATTCTATTGTTAAGATTAGAGCTTCAAAATAAAAAAGGAGTCATAATGTGCTACTGCAGTAGTTAACAATTAATAATGTGCTATTAATTCAGTGAGGGCACTTTGTAGTTTAAATTGAGTTGAGAAGGCAATGCCACATGCCAAGATCTGAAATTCCATACATATTCATGGACTTAATATTTTGATATAGGACTTAATATAGGATATACAGAATATTGAGTCCTAATAATGGGAATACTGTACATATTCATAGGAATTAGGATTTACTGTAAGATTTTCTGGGATTGGTGATCACTCTCTGTGATCCCAACTGTCCCTAATATTTGTCACCGAAGAACAGATTTCAGATTACAGTTTACTCTGCCTTGTAGGAATTCTAAAGGTAAGGTCCTTATCAGTATTATTTTTCACTGCTCAGACCAACATACAGAAGACCACCAATGTATAGTCTTCATTACACTTATTAGTTATTTCAGTTTTGACGTTGTTGGAATTCAGATATCTTGGTTGTGCTTTGACTTTGGCTTTCCTTCCCTGTTTTAGAGATAGCTGACAAGATCTATAACCTGTTTAATGGGTATACTAGTGGCAAGGAACAGCAGACAGCTTACAATACCTTGATGGACCTGGGCACTCCTACCTTGCACCGTGTTCTCTACCACTATAACCAGCGTTATGAGAGCTTCGGCGAGTTCACCTGGCGCTGTGAAGATGAGCTGGGACCCAGGTACTCACGTCTTCTCCCATTCTCCCACTTGTTAATGTCTTACAAGGCATGTTTCAGTGGAGGTTATCTTGCAGTGTATTCTCTAAGGCAAATAAGAAGAGCATGTACTGTGTAAGAAAGGTTCCAAATGAGAGAAGACTATTTGGCCCAGTAGCTCGTGGCAGGAGCAGTAGTATATTTGTGCAAAAATGAAGGTTCAAGTAACAGGAATACAGTAAATTTGTTTCTCTGACCTTTGCTTTTGAGAGAAAGTTAATCTTTCAGTCATTGTTTTTGTTTGAAAGGAAGGGAAAGATTGATGTTCTCGAATGTTATTATTACAACTGGGAAACCAATGTAGTCCAACTGAGTCAACACTATTGAAAATTACTTGTACAATATTTTGCTGACTGCAAAACAATACTTGAATATGCTAAAACATTTCCACACTGAGTGATCTAGACAGCTGTGATGATGGTTAATTGTAATTAATTGTTTATTAAATATACCCATATGTTTAATATCAAATATAAATATTTGTATCTAGAATCTTGGAAAATCAAGTGAAACTGATTAAAACATTAAATTTTAGATACATTACAACCTCAGAACAAATTAAGAGTATATTTTTAATCTGTTTGCAAGTCATTGTTAAAAGAGTTTAATTTGTTTCATTCCTATGTCTTACATTAAAAAAACATAAAAAAAAAACAAAATGCAGCATTAGAATAAGTGATTTATGTGCAGTGGCCACCGTAAATAGCAAGGAATTAATTGGGCTCCAGTCAGTACGATTGACCCATCCTGATTGATATTTAATGTTTCATCAGCATGGGCTTAGAATACTAAATTGTGAGGTTATAAATTAATAATTGATTGCACCACTTTTCTTCCCATTTAAACTCTAACCAAATTGTGGCTCATAGTTTTGTTTTCTTACTTCAGTTCCTTTTGAAACTCTTGTAGCTGGAAAACTTTTAATCTTGGCTGTGGGGTCCATCCTCACTGACTGTTAGCCATTCAGACTAGTAGTTAGTCGTTATGCAACCATGCACAAAGCCCTAAACAGACCATTTTTTAGTGACAATAGACATGTTTTATTTGTTCTTTTTAGCTGGAAATGTAAGACATTTGGAAATGTAGTGTACTGCACATTAAAGAATTCTGACATTTCTGAACACATTTCAAATAAAACAGAGAATAGAAATGCCATAATGCAGCAGATAGGAAGTTTGGCGAGCCACTGTACCTAAAAACACAGGCACTAAAAATGTTGATGATTTATACACAACATTTTTACAGAAGCAGCACAAGGTGCTTTCAGTGGTGGCAAAATGTGTAGGTGCAGTTTTCTGGAGCAGTTTCCATTCCCATTAGTGGTTCAAGACAGCTGATTGTTACACTGTTACCAGAAATTGCTACAGTATTTAGCATTAGAGGTTTTTTTTGTTAAATATATACTCTGAAGCAGAAGCCTGCACAGCGTCAGTAGGTGAATTGGAAGCAAAATGCAGATACTGCTAAACTACCTCACAAATAGAAGCACAGAGCAGATTTCATCATATATAGAGGACATGTTTTGTCCACATGTTTGAACAGCCTTCAAAACAATTATGAGCAGATGAGAAATCCACCCTTAGGGCCACTTTCCTTAAACCATGTTCTGTCATCCTTGCCCAACAGTTTCAGAAGAAGTTTGTTGCAAGTGACCACATTTAAAGTGAGATAGGGGGTCTTTTAGAAGTGATACTAATGCTGCATAGAAAGGCAAGATTACATGAAGATAAGTAAAAATACATACTTTAATGCCCCTGTCTCCTACAATAATGTTTAATACAATCCCTCTCAGGCAGAATATGCCGATGAGATTTAAGAGAAAATTTAAGACATGCAGCATTAATAATTTGGTTCCACGTAAAGAAATTAGGCAGAGGTGTTCCCTTATTAAAGGTCCATTACAATGTAAATTTGAGGGTTTGTCTGAAGTACTGTAATGTTCTAATGAAGTTTTCCAAGTATTAATTATATCTAGCATTTAGATTTCATTTTCATCAGCTAGTTCAAATAGAAAATAACTGCCACCCAGTAGCCTTGTCATAAAATATAACATCAATTCAAACATTAATGGCCTCAGCAGAGTATAAAAATAGTTGGTTTTGTATAAAGTCTTGTTTTGAAGGAAAAAAGAAATCTTTCCTTTCTGACATATCATATCTCACCATTGGATCTTTCTGGCTTCAGCCTTAGAAATTTCCTGCAGGTTTTCAGGCAATATTGCGTGATAGTAAGGTCAGACATAAACGTCCCAGCTCTTTTTTATTTTAAATACCTCTTCTCTTGTCTCATTTTTGGCATTATTATGGGACTAGCTTCCATGAAAGGCATTTAGCCTTGTGTTATTTTAGAAATGTTAGAAGCTGGCCTTGTGGGATAGCACCACAGCTACAGTATTTCATTTCCTCTGGTTCTAAGTTTACATAACTTAAGAGCAGGCTGTGATATCAATGTTCACATAGATCCAATAATTTAAGTGTCAATGTTGAAATCAGACTGGTTAAAACAGGACTGAATGCTTTCATTACCTGATTTGGAAATAAACAATTTTGTCATTGGAAACAACCAAGCCCCAGATTTCTAAGAAGAAAATCAACTCTAGGAAAGCCTTTTGATTTTTTCCCCGGTGTTTAGCTATCTAAGGTCTGCAGGCTGTAGTGAAGTATGTTCTTACTATCCTATGTCTCGCTGCTTACAAAAATAAGGGCTTGAGATTCATGATTTTGACTTTGACTAACTCCAGGTCTAATAATGGTAGCCAATATCTAATATATATAGGAATGTTATACAGTGTTCCTTAAACATTGAATTCAGACTGTGTCTAGATAAGTTAGAATGGGAACCATATTTTTGTTTTATATTACAATTAATTGAGGGTTATTTTTTTATGGCAGTTTTAGCGAAAAGTTAGGAGGAATGGTAGTAACCAAGGTCCACCTCACTTCTTCTGCTCACACTCATTCTGCATAAAGTCACTTCCTAAAAAACTGTAAATACTGTTGTAAACCCCTCAATTTTGCTCACATTTGTCTGTTAAACATTTATGTCAAAGCTTTGGCTGGAGTTATTGGGCTACTAATTAGTTTATCTATTAATTATTGTGATGTATTAGAGTAAATTATAAGACAGTTTCAAAATTAAGCATTCTAATGGAAACTAAATGCAAATTGTAAAACTTCACTTTTTCGAGCAATGCATTATGTGCCATTTTAAATTCTCTGTGACCAGAATTTCCAGTCCAATACCCCACCCAGTAAGGCGACAGAGGACACTGTGCTGTAGGAGATGTTGTTCTTTGGATGGTACATTAAACTGAGGTCCTGACTATTCAGTCTTTCATGATCCCATGGCACTTTTCAAAAGAGTAGAGGTATTAACTCTGGTGTCCTGGCTAAGTTCCACCCTGGGCTTGCGTCAAAAGGCCTCCCCAAATTTCCCCTTAAATTCAGCTAGTGAAGTCATTCCTCAGTCCACTTGATCTACCGTGTAGTGGGACTGCTGGCGCACAATGGGCACTGCGCATCCCCCAAGTGGCGCATCACCCAGCAGCAGATGGAGCTGGTCTCCTCCTGTATATAAAGTGATTTGAGGTCCCCCGGAATGAAATGACCTCTATAAATGGAAGTTATTATAAATTATTATCTTCTGAATAACTTATCGGCTGCAAACATCCAAGAGTTCAATAAAATGTCTTCCTTCGAAGGGAAGTGATTCACAGTGAAGTGAAGCAGAATGGTGAAGCTGACAGAGCTGGAAAGAGAGGCCCTGGTGGAGACAAAGAAAGGTTTAAAATGTACCCTGGAAAAAGGAGTCATTTTCCACTTCTATACATGTTCGGATTTATGGTGACAACCGTTGCTATTTGGAACATTAAATGTACTTTTTAAAAAATTTAAACAAAACAAACCGCAAAGGTTTTTGTTTTAAGCAAATAAACATCCAAATTCCTTAAACCACCAAAATGTGGCAAGATATTAGAAACATAAATAATTAGAAGAAAAATATAAATGACAGTGTCTCTACTACAGCCACATAGTATTTTTTAAAAGAATATGTAACGGTGTTGGGGAGGGTGGGGTGGAGAGATGTAAAAAAATAAAAGTGGGCAAGCCAAGAACAACTTATTTATGGTTTCTTCAAATGTGCCTGGCGATTTCTGACATCATTAAAATTCCATTATCTTGTTTTATGAAGAATTGCCAAAGTAAATGAATACTTTCAGGAATTCTAGCCATGTTGTTCACTCTTTAAAGAGATAGAATATAGACTACATAGGAATAATTTATAATAATATAATCAAGGACAAAAAACATCAGTATTCACCCAAAAAATTAAGGTCACTTCAAAACATTGTATCGCCTCAAATTGAGCTAAAACATGAATATGTTTTAACACCCACTGGTTTCTGAGATATATTATTATTAAAGAAGATACCGAATATTCATTAGCTTTTGCTGTACAACAATAACCCAGCTATTTACTGTAATTCTGCATCTCTATGAATCAGTTTTGAATCTGTATATAATTTGGTTGTGTCTTAATATTTTTAAATCAAATTTGAAAAGTTGTTACATATTCATTGCAAACTGTTATGTGCATCTGCTGCCCACAGAGTTCAGCAGAGAGAGCATCTGTTCAGAATAACACTAGTTTTGCAAATGCATATGGTGTAAAATATTGCATGCTTAATTTCCATGCTAGAACATAAGACTGTGTTGCTTTACATTGAGAAGATGTGAACTGAAACTGGCAGTGCACCCTGCTAGACGATAGATTATGTTAAATGATTGGAACTAGCACATGAGAAAGATGAAAAGCGGAAGTTTGTGCTATAAAGATGGCTAATGTGAAAAGTGTAATTTACGTTGACTAAAATTATAGCAGATGACAGTGTCACGAACCAGTGGGCTGTTTTGTGTTTTGTTTGTTGTGTTTAAATATAAGCATGAAACCCTGACTGTTTAAACCATTTTATTGCATGACACATACCCAAAGTTTTAATAAGCTCTGTACTTAATTCACCAAGGAAGGTTGTGTTGTATGTGTGCTGTTCTTGTAATATTGGCTATTTTACACGTAAAGCGAAACACAAAAATCAGTGTACTCCTTCTCACACTAAGTGGCTTGGTTTTGGCTTGGATTCATTTTTATAAATCATTTTGTCAATTTTTCTGTTTTTCACTTCAGAATTTTGCTGGAGGGTGACATGGTGGCTCACTGTGCTGGGGCTCTGGGTTCAGTTCCCAACCAAGGGTGCTACCTGCATGGAGTTTGTAGGTTTTTGCCTGTGTTTGCATGGGTTTCCCCTGTGTGTTTAAGTTTCCTCCCACAGTCCAAAAATATACTGGTAGGTTAGTTGGCTTCTGGGAACATCAGCCTGGGTGTGAGCATGTCTGTGTTTGTGTCTGCCCTGTGATGGACTGGTGTTGTGTCCAGAGTGTACCCTGGCTTGTACCCATTGCCCTGGCTTGCAGGGATAGTCTCTGGTTCCCCCATGACCCTGAATTGGAAGAAGTGATTAGAAAATGGATGAATGGACTCTGCTGGAGGTCCATTGAAATGGTCTTGTGGAGACTTATAGTACTCCTCATTTACGCTGCCGGTTCTGGTGAAGTTTCATGGTAAAACGAAGATGCGTAGTTAGAAATAATGTACTGTACTCTTGAAAGTTGGGCAAAACCACAGTTAAACTTCTGGACCTTGTAAGAGCTTGTTGGGTCTGTATATTAGTTTTCTCTCATTTGAACCTCCCTGTGCTTTTTAACATTCACAATTGTTTTCAATGTTTATTTAGTTTATTTTCATACATGTTTTAATGGTATAGCTGCGAGATCGTTTTTTGTTTTTAAATAAACGCAAATGAAAAATGTTAAATGAATGTGCTGGTTAATAGATTTTCCCACATTTTCAATATGACACTTGTAGAAAAATTGCAGCAAATTCTAAATGAGAGCCTTAAGGCTTGAGCACAATGTTGACATTTTCAATGATGTGTCTTTTCCTTTTCATTTCCATTCTAGGAAAGCTGGTCTCATTCTCTCTCAGTTAGATGACCTAAGTGGCTGGTGTAGTGGCCTGTTGCAGGAGCCAAAAATTGGCCTACGAAGAGCCTCTCTGAAGTACCTGGCCTGCCGTTACACTGATACAAAGTCGTTTGGTTTGAACTGGGTTGACCTGGGGCGTGACATCAGAAAGGCCTGTGAAGAGCAGGTGCTCCCTGTGCTATATAATGACTATGGGGAGTCCAAGGAACTGTGAAAGACAAGGAGCCTTTTTTTTTCAAATGCCTATATGGACAATGGATCTACAAGCGTTGCTTCAGTCAAAGATGCACATTTTCATAAAAGGAATTTTCCCAGAAACAAGTATAGTTAGAAATCTCGAGTCTCTAAATGCTTCTGATTACAGCTTGTTTTTTTTTATTTTATGTCGTCATAAATCCATCAAATAAATATATGTACTGTATATACATTGCATAAGTAATGTCACCCTAAGTAAGTACCTGAGTCATCCTGAAGGTTTTATTAGTATATTGACTTTTACAATGTGGTGTTTCAAATAAGTTCTGAGTTTCCTGTACAGAAAAAAATCACAGGAGTCATTTTGTAACAGATTTGCCTAACTAATGCCACTGCATTATGCTTCTGCATAGCCTGTGCTTACTGACTGAGGACTTAAATCGATCTTAAATCCCAAAAATGTATGTATATAATATTGAATTTACTAAAATGTTGAATGTAGCAGTTTAGATTTTAATGTTGTACAGCACCATTTTTTAAATGGATACTGTGTTAATCTTGGAAAGGTGAAACAATAATGTAATATGTCTTGATCCGTGTTTTTAGTCTCAAGAAGTAAATTTATTTGCCAAATTCATTTCAATTACAGGTTCCAGTGCTGCTTTTACATACACTACTCTCAATATGATATATACTGTAATATAAAATATTATAAGATTCTTAAATACTTAAGCTGAGAATTTCACAAACAAGATTTTAATTTTCAAACAATATAACATAATACAATAAATTAATAAAACATACAGAAATGGGGAAAAGGAAACACGTCTGTTTATGGTCACTTGTTTTGCACTAGCAGAAGGCAATCTAGTCATATATCTTTCCATGAGTTCAATTTCTGCAAATCAATACAACCATGTGTAACTTCAGGGAATCTCATTCCCCACTCAGGCTTGTAAAATAGATTTTTTTGGAACACAGTTTGACCCTCAAACAAAGCAAGTGCACATGAAAACTGATAGAGAGAAGTCTCTTGGGAATCATCGTTATGAAGGAGTAGTCAAGGACTCTCCTTCTGAATAGGCACAGCAGTCACATCTGAAAACACAGACTGAGAAACTGAAAACCTCTAAGAGTATCTTGTACAGTATTTGCAGCACAAGGCTCTCCCCAGTCTAGGTGAATAATATATGAAAATATTTGCTGGTAATTGAAAGAACAGGAAGTGTTCTCTTAGGGTCTGCATTAAAACAAAGCTGTGGTTCAACACATTATTTGGTCATTTATTTTAGAATGTTTGATTTTGATTAATCAAAGGATTTGAAAAATAGATGGATGGTTACCTTTCATGGGTAGTTGATATTATAAGCAATTGCGATTTATGTAGTGCCATTTTCCTCGGAACAGAAGCTGAAGCCATCTTACATTTTCTCGGCTTTTGTAAAGATGCATTCCCTCTCTGGTTAAGAACACAATTCACTCTGTTTCACATTTCTGGTTTTACTTAATTCATGCACCTTTTGAATGAACTGTTTGGTTAACATAGCCTGTATAGGTCAGGTCCAACCAGTGGGGTGATGACTGTCCATTAGTTGTACAGTCTTTTTCTTTACATCATTAATTCTTGTCTGGGTGAATTCTGGAGGGTGCCTTATGGGGGAATGTAAAAGCAGCATTGGGATTTAACAGATTCTGCAGAATTTCTTCGGAGATTTGGAACACGTGTTTTGAAAACACAGAATCTCCTGTGTTTTTCCCGTGTGCAGGTTTTGAAATGTATTTCTTAGTTCTGTTGTAATATTAGATTTTATTTTAAAAAGTGAATTGTAAAGATTTGCAGTTCTTTACAATGAACTGAGCAACAGACTTAGCGCTGAAGGAACCGTAAATGCATTAGATCCTTTGCCACCCTGAAACATTTGATTTGAAGTAAACCTTAAAATGAGGTCTGTATTTTATGGAAAACTTTTTAAAACTGCATGCACAATGTTTTGTAAAGTCTGGGTTAGCTGGAGTGTGCTACAGTAGATGTAAAATGGACGTATTGTGCACCTTTTCACCTCTATCTTTGGTTTTTAGATGAAGAATAAAGAATATAACCTTAAATGAGATTCATGTTAGATTTTATTTCAATACTAATTTCAGTTCAAATGAGAATTTGGTTTTCTACAATTGTTAATCTGTACAAATAATGTTTAATGCACAAAACTTCAAAACACATTATCATTGCTTGAAACAAAGATCTCTCTTTTAAGATGGGATATGTTATCACAAGCACGGGTAAAATGTATTGACATGCACATTTTAGTGATATATTTGTTATCTTCAAAAACATCAGCTTTTCTGTTTCCCATTTGGAATCTTATTAGCAAAAGACAAAAGCAAAAGTGGGGAGGGGATCATGTAGAAATTAGTTTTTCAGTGAGTCAGGCCTCACCTGTATTTAACAGGGGTCTCAAACTAATTTCCTGGAAAGTATCCCAGTGTCTTCTGGTATTTGTTCCAGTCTTACCTGTTGGTTATGGAATTGGTCTACTTTTTTAGCCACATGACTGCAATACATCAAACCAGGTCTGAGGTGTTTTGGCAGTACTGTAGCTGTACTGTGAAGCAAATATTTTGAGTAAACAACTGTAAAACGAGCTTAAGAAAAATGTCTGCCCCAGAAAATAATGAGGTTAATGTCTACCCAGCTGCTCAGATTGGAACAAAAGTCAGAAGTCATCAAGACTCTCCAGGAATTAAGTTTGAGTTATCAGGTTTACATAGTGGGAGAGACATTACCCTGATAATGGAGGTTCAAGAAGGACTGTTGGAAGGCCTTGAAAGTTACAGTTGGAGGAATGTTAGAATTGCACTATTCATAGGAATATGATTGTCGTCCTATAATTTTACATTACTAGCTTATTTTGTGATGAATGGATTTGTTAATTGTGTTTGTGGTTTTGCTTTAATTAATCGTCTTTCATTTTGTTCAATTATAGCTGTTAATAGCAATTATTGCTGGCAGTATTGGTTATTGGGTGCCTACTATGCTGGAATGGACAGATACAGTCATTAGCCACAGCACAATGAAATGATTGGCTCGCAGCAGTAGGTTGTTATTGAACGTTCAATCTGATAAGTGCTAAATTGTAGTACATTACAGAAAATGGCAATGAATTAGTAGGATGGGAAGACGTATTGTCAGTTAAATACCTGTGATTTAACTTAAACTAATAGAGTATTTTTCTTTTTGTATAGAGAAGCCCAATAAATCAGAGTACAAATCACAATGATTCATGTGATAGCAGGTACAGTACCTGGCCTACAGTAAATCCTTTGGCAGAATATTGCAGTTTCAATATTCTGTAAATATTCTGCAAATAACTGTATGAAGAAGCAGTGTTCTAGGGCATTTGAACTAGGGGACACCTGGAGGAATATGTAGAACTAAGAAATATAAAGTGTAGTTTAGTAAAAAGTGGTCATTACTAAGGGAGAAGTTCAAATTATTTACAGGATATTGAACACAATAAATGTTTATTTAAATGTTTTAAGATAGTTCAGATTTTTTTTCAAATTAAACTCTTGATCAAGTCCTTACCAATCATAAAATGGGACCAATTGAGTCTAAGATGGTGGTGTCCTCAGTGCAGAGATATAGTAGGTAGTGGAATTGCCTGGTGCCTGAGCAATATTTTCAACAGAGACAAAGACAAGAGAAGGGCCCAGGATAAACCTTTGAGGTATTCCCCTAGTAATAGGAAGAGGTTGTGAAACAAACCTATAAGATACAATTTTAAAACTAATTCTAAAAACATTGGTCTTGATTTAACACCATACAAGGGAACTCATATCAAATCTAATATTGCTCAACTTCAGAGGAAGAAAAAGAGTGAAGCACAGCATCAAAAGGTGATGGATAAACATATAATGATACAGTATGTGTTTTGGGAAAAAAGAAATTGAACAAATTGGCAAATAATGTAATTGTAGAAAGCACAGATTCAGTTTTTTGTTAATACATGTCAACAGTTTATTATTGTATACATGTGCATTTATTGATTCTTAATAGTAGTTCATTAAAATACATTTTCAAATAACCAAATAACCAGTGTATTGAATGATTTCCCTTTCTATAAATCAATGGGCCTGAGCTTTATAGTTACTTAAAATCTTTCAAAATACAAACCTGTGTTTAATCTGAACCCTTCGATCTGGCAATAGTCTATGTAGACCTCTGAAATCTATAATATTTCTTCATATTTGGAGACAATTTGTTAGGCTTATTGAATAAATAAGAATTCATCAACCTTAAAACAAACCAGTACTGTATATACCACAATTCAAACCATAGCCTGACTAAGCACATGTACCTTGTGAATGGATAGCACTTAGTAAAACTTCATTTCCAACCATTTTTTAAATTCAAACAGTAAAATAAGAATTAAATCACAGTTACTGGGCTACATTTGGTTTATACATTTTTATTATTTGACTTTTGAATTAAATGTTAGTATTCTTTGGTAATTAGCAGATTTGGTGACATTATTGTACAATAGAAATGTTTTAAAAAGTTACTGTTGTTACTAATCTGAATTCCCTTGAATCCCTCAATAAATAAGGAGCTGATTTCATATAACAACTAGAAGTTCAGTTTCATTGTATTCATTTAATGGAGGAGTGAAAGAAAATTGATCTAAGTACCATTCACAGAATAATTAGAAAACGCAAACCAGATTTAGAGAGAAAAAAAGGTAAGGCCATTTTCAATTGAAACAATAAGTATTTATACTGTACCTCCTTATTATTATGAAAAGTGATATTTACAATAATGAACCCATTAATGAGCTGAATGAAAAACCAATAAACATCAAAAGCCAACAAAGTATAATCACAATTTGACAGTTTGTACTCAGAATTACTATAATAATGAGCAAAGCATTTGAGTGCATGTTTAAGGATGTTGTTAGCAGCAAAAAATGAGGTAATTGTAGGGGTGATTGCCCTTTGATAGATCTTAAATGCCAAAGGTTTAAGTTAAAATTTATATATAGATTTTACTTTTCTACATTACTATTTTGTAATTTCTGTAGTATTTCCCCACAGTGAGACCCAATCAATTCCTTTTATTTTAAGAGGAGGTGGTATTAAACAATTTAAGAAAGCAAATAATTCAGTTTTGAGATTATTCGTTTTAATGCATCATAACACAAAAAATGTAATACTATTATTAATGCAAGTAATGTTCCCTATTGTCCTAAAAAGAGTAATACAGTCTGCTTACTAGTGTTCAGAGGTGCAATCCAAAAGAAAATGTTCGGTAAAAAAAACATCCTGTTCACTATTTTCTAGGTATTTGACATCATACAGTACATTCAGTTCCTTTTTATGCTATTGACACAGGTGTTTTGCAAAACAAGTATATGTGTGATTCTGTGGTTCTTGGAGAAGTGACACAGAGCCTAGGATTTCTCTTTCCTAGACACTAAGTCATGGGCAATTTTCGGTAAAAATAAATAAATCAAGTGCCAAACACATTTCCTTCTAATATACACACACGCAGTTGTGCCCTCAGGATAGCATTGATTTTCTTTGCAAAACTGGGGATTCTCTCAAGCCTTAGACAAATCTGGTGGTGTGACAAACACTTTATCTAAACTCAGAATTGTAAAAGAATAACATACTGTAGCTGAAAACGATATAGCAGATTGAAAATATATATCTATATCGTTTACATATACTGTATTTATTTGTTCAAAGCATTGCATGTGTAGCAGCTTTGTGTTTTCCAGCTTGAAAACTGACACTTGTTAACGTTTGTTGTGCTAATTGGTGGTAATTTTAATTAATCTACCAGGTAATATAGCAACAATTAGGCTATGTGACTGTACTACTATAAAGTAATGTAATATCTTAATCGTTGATCTGATCCTTGACCAATGTTGATGGACACAAATCACAGCCAAATGTCCTTGATGATACTTCTGTTCTCTAGTGTCATCACAAATCTTTGGAATCACAACTGGAATGTTTCATAGAACTGTAGCACTACCTTTATATCTGCTGCTTTCCCGAAGAACACAGAGGGTCAGATTCCTAATTGATTTTGTCTTCATGAAAAAGGATCTTTATCATTATATAAACATGCTCTGCACAAAGTACGTTGATTAATTTGCCAGAGAAACCATTGAAGAGGGGGGAATAGTGTTGTGGGGGTGTGATTTACTTTGCTTCACTGATGGAATATGAGACAATAAGTGCAAAGCAAGTGGCAAGAAACTCCCATTTCCTGAACTGGGATAAATTTTGAGAGACAATTTAAAGAACACAGAATCTGTATCGTCAAACTGATCGATTTATTTAAGTAGGCTTCTTTTAAACCCTACACGATTCCGTGACATGTTGTGACCAAGAAAATACAGCTCACTTGTTTGTCCTCTCAAAATATGATTAGCACAAAGACTAAAAACAAACATAGACTTTAAATAGGTTAGGCTAATTTGGGCGTACACCGTGGTGCTGTCTAAAATTATCTCTGCAAAATGACCAAGTCACCCTGCAATTATTAACCTGACGCTTGACAGTCTGAAAAACGCGCCTGAAAAGTCCTGAAGAACACAAGATTTGACTGTTGTTGTTTTTACTCATTTATATCCTTCTTGGAAAACTTAGAAAAAAGGAAAATAAAACTTAAGAGAGATGATTTTCCTTCCAGGCTCCTCTACGATAAGACAGCGTGTTTTGGGTTGAAAGTCAAGTCATTATTCCCCTGGCAGTAGTCTCTTGCCCAGAACTGATTTTCTTTTTGCATCATTCCAATTGGACTCCAGCAAAAAAAAAAATGTATTTTGTTCTCAGTGTGCGGTAACATTAACTAACTAGCTGCTTAGAGGTGAAAATTGCTCAAGAATCAAGGATTATTGAACACATCTCCATCATGTGTCTTTTCCTGTTCTTTTTACCTTTCAACTGTTTTAGTCTGCATCTCAAGCATGTGTACGTCTTATCAGACTTATCTTTGACCACTACAGTGATGTAGCAACAATTGGATTAGCATGGTCACTCTCATCAAGATGAATTGAACTCTGATGTAGTTAAGCTGTTGTAAAATGAAGACTATAACCAGTACAATCTTGCAAACACACAACAGCCACAGAGGTGTGTAGATAATTCTTGGGCATGGAGTTCAATTCAGTCATTTTGAATTCCATTTGAACATCTGGGACAAGAAATTAAGGCAGAATTAAGAAATATTAAAACTTAAAATGTGTATCTTTAGTGCCTTGTCCTTTGTAGACCATATGAATATATTCAATATACAGTATGGAAAACCCTTTTAAGTGGTATGTTTAACTAATTTAACTTCCCTTCGCTCTATGGTAAAAGGAAAATCCCCAGGCATGCCTAGCAAAGTAGAAATAAAGACTAGGAATTGTAAAACTTCAAGAAACAGCTTTAGTAATGTTTTTGTACTGTAAGTAACAGAGGTACAGAAATCTACTTTGATGCATACAGATCATAATAGCTTTCATTTTATACAGTATATACACTATAGGCATGTTAAGATCCCATGTCAAAATATGTCCTGAATATGTAGGCTAGTATTGCTAGAATTGACATAGTCGGTAGTGATAATCCTCAATTTATTAGTGTATGTCCTGGGACAATCTTTCAAGAACTCATTTTCCTTCACCATCCCAAACCTGTTTGACCAGTCTCTCTGCTTTTCAGTCAATTTAATCTCCATAGTAGATTCCACACCAGTCTAATACTAAGCATATTTTCAAATTTTCTCAAACTGTTTGGAAAGGGACAGTTTTACTGCATGACTGACTAGTCAGCAACAATCATCTTAAGCTAAATTTGATACTTTATGGGAAATGTTCATTTGGATGCACATTTACTGCATAATAAAATACTTATTAAGACTATGCAATATTAATAATACTTATTTATAAGAATTAAATCAATTTTAAACAATTTATAATCTGACAGAATATTCTGTTTTATGTTAAGATTCAGACTGTATTATTTATAATACAGTCTGAATCTTAATACAGTATAAATACTGCAGTATTTGGGCTTACTGACATAAAGAGGAGAAAACTCGAACAGGTTGATGATGTTATATTTTTTATCAGCCCTAACATGGCAAAAATAAACTGGCTTGCACAATTTGTGCGTTTATAAAAATGGGTTTCTATAAAGACATCACCTAAATTATAGGGCCTTGAAACAGGCTATATTTTGACCTGGATTTCTAAGATAAACATACTGGTCTATGAGTATGTGATTATGATGTTAGAAGATTCCTTTATTACTAAGTAAGATCTACATTTGTTAGACACTGATGAAATATATTAGTCTATAGTTTATAGAGTGATAGCTGTAATACTAAAGCTCTTATTTGAATATTTCTGATTCTCTCTTTACCCGACTTTGGATGTTATATTTTTAGAGACATGGTCCATTCATGACCTGCTGTTTTTCTGCGGTTTCCAGATTTCTTCCAGCGTGTTCTTAAAACGTGCCCTGCGACCAAGCGCTTTGTTTTCCATCTTATTTTCCTTGGCATTGGGATCCCGGCATGTGCACTCATCCTGGTCACAGTCCGTCCCAAACTGAATGACCTGTGAACACAAACGACAAAACAGGACACCTGGTAGGCCCAAACCAGACCGAAGAAATGTATATTAACCTCAACTCATAATCCCATCACAAATGTAAATGCACTTGTAAAACCTGGAACAAAGATAAAATCCTTTATAGCAAATACACTTGCAGCACGTGGATGAAGTTCAGTGTAAAGTTGCTTTTTTAAAAGATGACAGAATTAAAATCACTGGTCTAGGAATGACCAATATGTTCAGAGTAAAATAAAAAAAATTTCAGAGCTGAGTCTTATCTTGCAAATGTTGCAACTGCAGGCTTAATAACTGGATACGATACGTTCAGGGAATGTTTCTAAGCTTTCAGTTTTGTTTCTGAACAATATTTTAAGGTGCCCTAATCGTGTTCTAAATTCCTGCCTGGGAGTAAATTATTACACTTACAATGTACAAGTATAAGATGCTTTATCAAGCTTCAGAAACACTAGATAAAGGAAGGCACCATGAACATAGAGACACAAGTAATCCAAGTAAAAACAAGTAATCCATGTTGGATTTTAAGGTGAGGCTAACAGCAATAACAGCTAGAACTGAGCGTGAATTATGCTGAAGATGTCAATAGAAATAAAAACTAAACATCATCAATATATTTTGCACTATGTTTTATATACTGTGTTTTTATGTCTTTATTACTTAATAATACTGCCTTCACTGATCAGTGTTCCTGGCATTTACTGTCAGTATTTGATTGGCAGTAAGTACAAATTAGAGATATAGATATCATTCAGCGGATAATAAAAACCAACTTTTTAATACAACATGATAGAAATGACATAATTTAAAGATGCAAATTAGTTCAAATTCCATACAACTGATATTATATCATGTTGATACATAATTAAAAATGGTAAGCAAAGATTTAATGTTCGTTTTACTTGTTAATTACTTTCAGTCCCAGAGCAAATTAAAAATCTTATTTTGTCTCAGGATGTCAAGATCTTATAGAGCCTGATGTCCATCCTAATTAGGAACAGTATCTGGACGGATTTCTAGCATGAAGTATTATTATTTGTGGATGCATGCCCAAGCATGAATTAGCATGTAGTATTCCATGATTTAATGGCTTCAGATAGATCTGATGGCAAAGGTTCTGATGGCAAATGTGTGTATTAACAAAGCATATTTTACCATTTCAGCTAGATTGAGGAAATATGTACAGTACAGAATAATATGAACAATCTTTGACTATAAAAGATAGGAGAAAACTGACTTATCAAGAGCAAGAGATTATGGTTGTGTAAGAGCAGCTACTATGGGTTTAACAATTTAATGTGGCATGATTTGACAGGAAGGGCTGGGTAACTGCTTGTAAGTATTATTTTTGGTTTTATCCGTGCATAAGAGTTTAAATCTTCAGCGTGAAATTTTATTTTTTGTATTGCACTTGCAACCAACTTCCAAAAATGAACAAATGTCTTTGCAAACAGCTGGCTACTGTCACTTAGTTGAGCTTTTTTTGTCTAGCGTTTTGTAAGCACAGCTAGTTCTACAGGCAATAATGAGGAAATGTACACAGCCAGACGTTTTTCCTTGCATATTATTCTAGTATTTTCACTACTAGATTTGTGAAAAGTCCTGTGTTTATGAATATATACACACATACTGTAGCAGTATTTCTTAATGTCAGGGGTGAGAGCAGCCTATACTTTATCTACAGTATCAATCAGGGATATTTAAAAAAGCTTTATAATGCCTCATTTTAAACATTAAAAAATAATTATTATATTGGTAAGAGGTACAATTTTGACAAGAAAACATCTTTACATCTTTTAAACTCCCCTTCAATTTTGTAAGTACTGATACCATCTGCAAATTATATTATTATATTGTTTAATATTGTTTATTTAACTATGGGGTATAGGTTTACTGTATGTTACATCTAACTCTAATATGTTCATCAATAGTATCATCATATACAATACCATCTTTATAAGCATCTTTTTAATAATTTTACTATAAATTATTAAGCCTTGATTATTTTAATACTTTCTTTTTGTTTAATTATACTGCATAATTTACCAATTATGTGGGCTGCTTTGTGCTGTCTTATTGAGTACCCTCTGCTAAGTGTACAGTGTAACTGAGGTACAGTTATCTGTAAAGTTTCACAAACTGTGTTTTTATGTCTGCCAAATAAATAACAACACAATGTTGCAGAAGCTTGGTTTAGGATTTAAAAAAACCAAATTTATTTACAAAGATTGGGTTCCCTAACATCACTGACTGAGCCCAACAGAAGTACTGCAAAGCCTTGGTACTTCACAACCATTTGTTCAGGTTGGTAGTATAAGAAGACATCTTACAGTATGTGTGAGAGATTTGGATATAGTACACAATTTTGGGGGGTATTTGGAATCTCTATTAATTTCAAAAGACTTTCAACAGCAAGTACTTACTGTAGGGTAAGGAAGCTGATTGGGTTTCATGTATAATATGTATCTTTTAGGTCCATAAAGACTTGTTTAAATAATGCTGATACAAAAATCATTTCTGAACTTTAAAAACAATGCTATTTACATCATTCTTTAACCTAAAACATAGCCAGGTCTCATTTTCAACTGGATTTATTGAATTTCATCATTTTTTAGAAAGGCTAAATAAACAGTCATACTAACGAGGCCTGTGTATCAAACATAGTGTCATGATAACGAATTTAAAACAATTGAACCTGTTCACCAATATTAAAGTAAAAAATGTTTGCAATATGCATTCTTATGATTTCCATATGCCTTTCTGTAAGTGAACGCAAAAATAGGTTCTAAATAGGTTCTAAATGTTTGTGCTTTCCATTAAGTTGTTTACTTTATCTGTCTTACCAGTCTTGATAATCTTGCTGAGAATCTTGGTAATCAGATTTCTTAATTCCAAACTGAATGCATACTGTACATTGCATGATCAAAGGTGCAAAAACTCAATGTTCCACATTTCCCCCCTGGGAAGTAAATGTTAACTACCTGTAGCTGTACCAATCTTGTGATTCCCTACATATTGGTAGAAGGGAATAAAAACACACCACTGAAGAAAAAGTAGATCAACACATGTTAAGAATCAACAGAAGCCATTGCCAGCTCTCGTCTAGGAAACACGCCATCGCCACAGGTTGCTAAACAAACACAGATGCAAAACAAGCTGCCTGTCGCAAGAAAAGTAAATATAAAAGTCAATTGCAGAGTCTCTAACATGGATTTGATCAAATGTTTTGGGGAGGTCACCATTTAATTGCAGACTTTGTTGTTATTCCAGAAGGTGGAGAAAGAAGTGTGACTTCCAAGACACATTTCCCTCTGCTCAGTGTGCATTTTTTTTACAAACTGTTTTGTGTGTGTGTCTAAAATCTGATCCTCCGGTAAGTTCATTTAACTTGGAACATTGAGGCAATAGTAATTCTTTATTGCCTCTGCTCCTGAAACTACTTTCTTCCATGATTACAGCCCCTGGAAAAAGGGGACCTTGTCCTTCTGGGGGATGAAATCAAATTGAAGCTCCCACAATCCAGTGAGATACTTTATTTTCGAGTTTATATGGTAAGTGAAATAGGTTGTATTCCTCATTCTGTGACTGGATCAATTACACTACCTTATGCACGGTAAAGATTTGGCAGAGAATATCAACCATCGAGCATGCCAAGTGCAACAAATACACCCAGGTGTATAACAGGGATCTCAACTGCCCGGGCTGGGGGAGGTCCCCTTTAGCTCAGCCGGCAAGTTCCCTGTTGTATGACGCTGGAGACCGGGGTTCGAACTGAGGGACGAACTGGCAGGGCAGGAGCTCCAAGGGCGGAAACCCCAAGCACCGTTACACCGTTATGTCTTGGCTAGGTTGCTCGTAGTTAGGACTAGTGTCGCTACTGTAGCTACCAACTTATTCTGTGATCTTTACAAATCTCTTCTTGTGGCTTCCAGTCTCTGTAGTCTTGCTGATCTGAGGTTTGATGTGTCAAAATTAAAATTGCTCATAAACTAAATTGTACTTCAAGAAAAACAAAATAAAAAATAACAGCAATGTATCCAAATAATCACATATTCGGTCATCTTTACATTCTATAGCAGTAAGTGCTAAAACCCTATTAAATGTGGGTAAAATTGTGGGCAGAAGGAAAAAGGTGTGACATTCAGCTGATGTCACTTTGGAATTCATAAGGAGCACTATTACTTCATATTTGCTTTCATGTGACCTACTAAGGGCATGAAACTCCAGAAGGTCTTGACATATAATTTAAAAGAACGATAATGAAGTGTTAAAAGGACTTCAAGCCATTTTCTCTTAAATTGTTAATACTCCAACTTGAAATGTCAGTATATTCTGCTGTCATAATTGTACCTATTATTAGCTGCTTTGCTTTTTTTGGCATAGTATTATTATAGTTAATAAAGAATGATTGTGGGGTCTTTGCGGAGCTTATTGCTACAGTTACCTGGACACAATCTAAAAGCTCAAGTCTAGCTTACTCTGTCTCCTAGCAAAGGACAATGTTTCACACAAATAGAACATTTTGAAAGTCTTACAATCTCTACATATTTATCTATCTTATTAAAAGACATATGGAGAGAATTATTTTGGGAAGTGTTTTATTAATGTGTTTTAGTGCATGTAGGGCTTGACCCTAGCATCTGTAATCTAATGCAGATCTAATAAATTGAAAAACTCCCAGTCATGTGTCCGTTTTTCTTTTTTGTTTGAGTCGAACAAGGTGAACAGCAGCAGGGAAATAAGAAATTAGACCTGCCAATGCCAATGTAAAGGTCTGAAGTCAGTTGTTAACATGTTATTCCATGAACGCCTGAATTACTGTAAAATGAATAGAGAAACGCATAAAACCTGGAGGGGGTCTTAAAACCAGCTTATAAACCATAAATTCAACTTTATAGGTGATGTCACTGGATGGCACAAAGTTCCTGTGGCATTTAAATGTCTTTTAAAAATCAAATTACAAATCTGGATCTTGGCCTGCATGCTTAAGTTTAACCAGATCTAATTATGTTTTCTCTCATTCTTTCACAGCATTATAAACAAAGGAAATGACCCTCGTTGGACAAAGAGTCTTCCCCAGTTGATGAAAGGTCTTATAAATAAACTGTGTGCCCGTCTACTGTCCAGCTTTTCTGCCAGCTTGGAACAAAACTGAGACAAATGTTTGCCAGTGTAAAGTTACTGATCTAAGCAGCATCTGGGCCCTTCTAGACAGGAGTGCAGCTGGTGTTATTCTACTGGCAGCATAAAGGCAATATGCAGGTCTACTGCCCAAAATGTGAAGATGCTGTCTTTCATTACATGGGGAGATGGTGAAATGTCAAACATTTATTATTTTTTATTGTTATTATTTTACTATTACTGGGGCTGTTTCTGTTGTGACTGTAATGATAACCAGGCTGACTTGGAAAACTGTTTACTTTGGAGTTTTTGCCTGAACTGAATTTACTGTATGCCTGATCTCATCCATTCACCTCCAGACTATTTTACAATGGAGTTCTTTTTTAGCAGGAGACAAATGGACATCCTCCTGTCAAAGACAGCTTATGAAGAAAGGCAAGTTATTTTAACTGACCACAACATGGCAGGAAGGGGAGGGTATACACTTAATAAGGGTAAAAATGGTGAGAAGTAGAAAGGGCAGCAAGAAACTGGGACAGAACATAATGACAAAAGAGGGAAGTGACATTCAATATAGATAATGGCAGATTTAAGACCAGTTAAGGCGTTGAATACTGGGATGCTGAATACTCATAGACTATAGTATAAAGTAATATAGATGGAAAATAATTACATTTAATTTAACTGGGCTCTTCTTCCTCAGAAACAGTATTAAGAGTCATACTGTAAGAATACTCATACAAAACATTTCCAAGAATTGACTTCTCTGTTCTCTGTGCTTTTTGAACTGGACATTTTGGAGTGACAGTGGAATTAAAAACCAAGATGACTGTTTCAAAGATGAAAGTCTTTTTCAGAGAATCAAAGGCAGAAGAAAATAAATTCGTGAAAAAATCCTTGAATGTTCCCCCTTACCTTCCTAGATGAAAGTGTGGATGGACAGCAGTCTCCACCATCATACTGGCAGTAAGCTCTGTTATTTATTGTGTCACACCAGCCATCACCCTGGAAGGGCTAAAAAAGAGAACATCTCTTACAGATAATCATTTCTGTGGAACTGGAACTGTATTTTTACAGTTTTTTGGACATTTATGGTCCCTGTTTGGTAGCTATCACAGTGAGATTCATTATATTTAAACAGAAAGCCAAAACTACAGTACATGCAGCATAAAACATACAGTAAGTGCTTCCTGAAAACAACTAACAAAACTTTGCTTGATGGAAAAAAATATCTTCATCTCTCTTTTCCTCCCTTGTGTTTTTTTGTGTTGGATTTGCAACTTCCAACTTTTACATTGGTTTCACTTGCTCATAGAAAAAGCTTGAAAAATCAAATTCAAATGTTTTAAAGCACGATACAAAAAAGCCAATGGCAAAGTTTGTTCCCATACATTGAAAATTTAGTACTGTATATTTGCAAAACAAGATACTATCTGAATATTCCCTGTGAGGTTTGAAGTAAAAAAAAAGTGCTTTAAGATATTTTTCAGTTGTTCAAACTATGATGGCAGTTTGCCCATTATTTGTGTGCATCTTATAAAAACAATTTTTAAAGCTCTATATTAGATATATTTGTTATATTGTTTTGAAACCTAAATATTCCATTGCTTTAAAGTAAATTTTCCAAGAATGCTGCTTGGCAGATATATATGCCCCAATTCTCTAAACCGATTTTTACATGATATTTTGCCATCTAAGATAGTCTAAATATTATGTTTCTTTCAAAGGATCAGTCACCTATTTCTTAATAAGAAACACCATGTGTCCTGTTCACTTGCATGCAAAGATCTCATTAATTTGGGACTTATTCCCGAAATATATCCCCCTAGTGCAGTGATTTAAATTAAATATTTTTGCACATTTCTACAGTATTGAGAATTGTTGGAAAATGTAGTCTTTTTTGCTCAGATTACAAAAAACCTTAGAATGTCCAGTCAGACTCTATTAATAACAACCCACACTATTTTTCTCTTTGCCAGCTCATACGTCATATATTCATCTATAGGTGGCAATTACAATATGGCTTAAAATATCATTAAAATTAAAATTCAGACAACAACAGGATTTTGTGACAAAGAACAATATTTTTTAGATGGAAATGTCTGAAATCAGAATGTGAGAAACTAGTATTGTAAAATCCATATGGGAAATTATAGTATGTTAGATCGCAACTTAATTCCCCATTTTGTTAAAAGGCCATGGTAAGAATGGAGTACAATGGAGTACAGGTGTCACACCCGAAGAAGGCTTCACAGCTGAAACGTTGTGTTTTCTTTTTTCTCTTCAGCATGGAATAAACCCATTATTTGTTCATATATGAATTACATTTGGGGCACTTCATGTATGATAATTATCGCATTTGATTCATTTGAACTTCACCTTAGTGTTTCTTAGCAAATTATCAGAAAACAAGAACTACTAAGATACTTTTGGCATTGTCCTAACTTAAAGACCTCAAATCCGTATCCCTGTTACAAATGCATCTGTTCGAGAATCTTTTGAAGATTGCTCTTATCTTAAGAACACCTAATCCAAAAGCTTTTTGTCCTCTTTCCAAATATTGGCAAGTCATAAACACATACAATTTTTATCATTCTAGTTTAATCTAACCAGAACAGGAACAGGGAGTGTTGGCCCAAAAGAGTTCATCTTAGATCATTTTGTCACTTTTGTGCAGATAACAGTACACAATGTATGTCTTCATATTCTCCAAGTACTGACCATGGAAATTGTTGTTTTTTTTCAGTGATTATAATGAATTGACAGAACGTTGAAAATATACAAAAAGAGATGCTTCTGTTCAAGTCCTAAACGTGCACTTATTCATGCTGATAATTCCACAATGTTTTCCTGGTGGAACTTCCTTAGCTTTTCAAACAGATTTGGCATAATTAGACAATGAATGTTAATCGTTGGTGGAGTTTTTTTTGCTTCCATCTGTAAGAGGTCTCATTCGATTTCCTTATTACACTGATGGGACCCACTAGGACAGCCGATAGCATTGAATTCTCCTGCAACAGGAGGCCAGCCTTGCACAATTCAGCACTCTAGGATGGAAGGAGCTCTGTGACTTGGGTCTGCTTGAGAGAAAGAGATTGAATCCTGTTGAAATACAGACTACATATGTTATGCAGGTTTCTTGTAATTTTGTTCTTAGATGTTCAAAAGAGATGCAATAGAGGGTTGCAGTCACTATTGAGTACAGAAAACAGCAGGGTCTGTATTTATTTATTTTGGATGATCTCATTTGAAGGAATACAATCTTTCAATGCAAGATTGATCTCAATTATCCATTCTCCCTTTTTTTAACCATTTTTAGGATTGCTTATTAATTTATCTCACAGTCACTGACATGCAAATAAAATGACCAGAGTTCAATCCATTCACTATAATTCTACCCCAGCTTGTATTTCTCCCTTCTGTTGCCACATGCTAACCCATTCCCATGCCCATTCTAACGTCTGAAAACACCATTTAGTCTCTGGCCATAACAGCACAGAATCCCAGAAATCTCAGTTTCTGGGATTTTAATATACTGGGACATTAATATACAGTATATTAAAAAAAACATTTGATAAAAACACATTACTCTCTTCTTTACAGTAGTGTTTAACTTTATATTTAAACTATAGTTATAGTTGTAGTATAAAGTAGACTTACAAATGTCTCCTTCATGTCAAAGATGAAAACAGCTTTTATGTCTCTCTGACTAGATGTTTTGCCTTAAGAATTTATTTGGAGAATTAGTAAATGCAAATGAAATTTAAAGCCAACAAGAGCACAATGCTAAAATGCTAGCTAATGTTAGCCAAAGATTAAATGAAAACTTTTGAATTAACATTGATGAGGAACAAAGTCAACACCAAAAAAGCCCTTATCAATTGTCAGCAACCGGATTTTATTAATGTGGCAAGAAATCAAGACAATTAAATAATGAGTATTATTGCCACTGCACCTTATATATAATGACCAAAAGAACATATACTGTAGCTGAAGCAAGAGACGCAAGTCTCATTTTTTCTTTTTGTCTTCTTCCTTCATGAAATTTTAATTTGAAAAACCACATACTTTGAACTGCGTTCTTTTATTTCCTAACTAAATCTCAGCTACAGTATATCTCAAATCTTTCCTTTTTTCTCAAGAGTGCAAAGCCTGAATGAAAGACATGCCTTCTTAAAGTGTGAGTCATTTTCCATTCTTTCCCTTAAATCTCTGTTTCTTGTTATTTGAAAGTAAGGTGATAAAGGTCTGGGTTTGTACTGACAAATTGACATCTGCAGAGTGATTTTGGTACCAGACAACAAAGAAAGGAACGTTTTTCAGCTTCTAAAGGCTTTTGGACTGCTGTGTGGTCAGGGAGAACTGCTTGTTTGCCTGTAAAGCTGGTTTGAGGTTTTGAGTTTGTGAAGTGGAAAATCCTCATACAAAATAAAATCAGTCAGTGGAATTAACTCTCTGGTTAGTGTTTTTTTTTTTTTGGAGGGACAGGCTAAAATACCGTGAGTTCTCAGTTTTGTTTGATTAGAGTACCTAGAAAATGGTACCAAATCAAGGCTTGAAATGGAAAAGGGCACGAAAACCGGTGGAGAGAAGCTAAAAGATTAATTGAACAAAGTCTCCTCACCAGAGGCTAATACTGTATGAATCACCAGAGAATATGGCATTCGGAGACAAAAAATATTAATAAGAAAACAGGTTGTTAGAATTTAGCATACTGAATAGTGAATAGTGATCTTTAGTCTTTGAAACCATTATATATACTGTAAATAATCAAGCTTTTTTAGATTTACTTTTTTGGTAAAGGCATTTGCAGATTCTCAAATATTTGTATTTGTTCAGATATTTCCTTCAGATACTGGGAATAGCTACAGATATTCTTACAGCACTATATTCCTAAAGCATCAAACATTATGCATAACAATTTGCCAGATATGCAATGTTTCCTGACAGGACAAAACTAGATTAATCCATACCACCTGTTGTTGAAATGTTATTAGTTTATTTTTGGTGTTTTTGTTATTCAATGTTTTATTCATGATAGGAACATTTCTTCTATAATGTCATACAGTTCTTACTTTTTTTAGCTTTGTTTTTAAAGTCTATGGTAAATATTTTCCTTTCAGTAATGCTGATTCCTGTCATGACTTCAGTGATGAACATAAAAATGTAAAAGGTAACCAGAGCTAGCCAGAGCATGTAATTTCCATAGCATTAAGGAGAATCAAGAACACAGGACTTTTCCCCTTGATGGGAGAAGATTATACAACTGGGTGTACAGGAGCAACTGGGGTAAACGTACCTCAAGGTACAACAACAGTTCCGCAGGGGTGATGTGAACTCACTAGTTATGAGCCTAAATGCTTACCTTACTGCACTATGTTATTGTGATCTTGAATATAGTCTTCAGATACAGTATAGTCACCTGAATTAACCTACCATTTCAAAAATACCTGCAATCTTTGGTGCTCAAGACTCAAACAGTCAATAGCCAGTGTGAGTCAAAAACAGGCATGCACTGTACTCATTAAAGATAGTTTTTATCTCTTTCTCATTCTCAAAACAACACTCAGTGCACTATCACGGCAAAAAATCCCGTACTTGACCAAGAAACAAAAACATTTACAGCTTAAGGCAGAATTCATTGACTCTAGACATCCAGGCCTGCTGTCAAACAGGTTTTGTATTCCTATTTAAAATATCAGCAGCTGAAGTCATGGTAAGATACAAAAATGCACAGTTCAGTTATGTTAAGGTCTCAAGCAGAATGCAAACCAGCAGATTCTTTGCCCCTCCAGTAGTATAAAGTGAGTAAAGAACTACTGTACACTTTAGCAGAGGCAAAGGCATACTGTATCTTACAATTATTTATTTCAGTATCTTATATCATTTTAAAGCTTAGAAATCTGTTCAATCTTTTTCACAGCAGCATCTAAGACCTTTTCAAGTTACTAAATAAAATTAAAAGCAACCCTCACTGAACCGTATTGTATTTGAATTAAATTGACAAAAACAAC